TGGATTCCTCCATAAAGTTAAAATATTGATTATTAACAAGAATGCAAGAGCATAGTGTTTTATAATTTCCTTCAATAAATTTGGATATATCAATTAACAGTTTCAATGGAAATTTATTATTTACAAATTTATTTTTATTTTTTTTTATTTACATAAAAAATTTTTTTCTTCTCATTTTATATATTTGTTCAGCCAATAATAACAATAATTTTTAAAAAAATTTTTTTTTCAAGATCCTATAATACGTATATATATATTTTAAAAAACAATTTCATCGTAACTACCATTATAAAATTTAAGTATTTTAAATGGTTTAGGACCTCTCCAATTCCTCATCAACTGATTTAAGGGTTCATTTCTAATAATATAAACTTGATCTTCAAATTTTAATATGTTCAGATTTTTTGATAATGATTTATTTAAAACCATTAACATTTTAATGCCATTTAATGTATGATCTGAATAAATATTAGAAAATGAAATGTGTTTTAACTTAAAGCAATTATTAAATATTTCAATTAATTGGCTGATTTCTTTATTCCTATAACATATTGATAAATATTCTAAATTTATACATTGTCGTCCAATTGATTTAGTAAGTTCACCCAGATTGGATTTGTCTTCTGGTACACCACTAATTGTCAAATATTTAAGACTGTTTCCGTTGAGTGCAATAAAAGCCTTCAAGTCAAGTAGAAAATATTGTTTAATGATTTCCACATTTTAAAGCTTCAAGGTTCAGTTGTGAAATATTTTTTAATACATTTAGTTTGCCTTTAAATGTATGAAAATCAAATTCTGATGATAATAATAATGATTTTAGGTTTTGAAATGTTGATATTAAAGAACATAGATTAACACATCCATGACTTTCATAATTAATCATTGAATTTGAATTGCATTTTTTAAAACATCTGAAAAATTCGTAGGAAAATTGTATAAATTATAAACCAACAATGCTTTGGTTTGATTCTGTGTTGAAATTAGATGAGCAAGATTAGAATCAACAGTGTCATTTGATATAGAACAATCTATTCTTAAAACTTGAATATTTCTACATGTAATTGCTAAATAATCTAATAAATCAGAATTATTACTATTAATATCACAATGTAATTCAACGATATTTTGAAAACAAGTATCGAGTCTATGATGATCTAAAATCCTTGGATAATTAGAATAGTAAATTTTAAACTCTCTGATAATTGAATGGTCTAAAATAAAGTCTGTTAATCTTACTAAACATTTATGAAATTGGCGAAGATCAAGTTCAGTTGCAAATCTGGCGTAATTGTATAGTGGTGGTTTTGCCAATAATTCAAATCTTAATGTAATCTCTTTTTTCTACTAATAAATCTTTGTCTTCTGCCAATAAGCAATTAATTAATATTTTAGTGCTGTTTTCGGAGTAAAATGGGTTTCTCCACAAAGTTGGAATGTTGATGTTATGCCATTTTTTATTAACAAGAATGCAAGGGTATAATTTTTTATCTTTTTCAAGGTATCTAAAATGTTTAAAAGTTCCACTGGGTAAATAAGACGATCTTTAATTTTTTTTTATCAAGATTAAAAATTATTGTAGGTTTTTTATTTTTATATATCTCGTATTTCAACTAAATTAAAAAATTTCTTGAAAAAGCACTAATAATAAAAACTTTAAGATTATTCTTTACTTTTTTTTTTTTCATGTATGTTAACACATTATAACCAGTTATGTTTAAAAACCAAAAAAAAATTTATTTAATTTTGAAGAGTTTATATTGTTATTATGAGTGAAGAAGAGTTTGATTATAATATTTGTTACAATTTAACGTATTTTAAAGGTATGACAGTTTTTATATATTAGAAATAACAACGGCAACAGCATTTGTATTAAAAAAATTTTTTTTAAAGATCTAATGAAGGAATATAGAAGAATAGACGATAACATTATGATAAGATTAAATTCTACAAATACACATTCAGAGAAATCGTGTTCAGAGTTTTTTAAACAATTATCTGGCGCGTATACTAAAAGAGAAAAGGTCATAAATCAATGTTTGCAGGTAAAGAGTATTGAAATATGAGAAGGAAAATTTGATTAAGATTATTAATTAACTAACCAAACATTACTATTGGTGATTTTAATGAAGATTTTAGATAATGATTTAGAGCAAAAAAGAAACAAAGCTCCAATTGATAATAATATTGTTGATGATATAAAGGTGCGAGAGATTATTGGATATATATATATATATATATATATATTTCCAATTTCTAAATTGTAATTTCAACTTCTTATTTTAACTAATTCTAATACATATCAATATCGCCGTCACCATCAGAGGAGGATGATTTATAATGAGTCCACAGTCGAGGAAATTGTGCGTGAAAAAAGTTTAAAAGTATTTATGAACAAATGTAGAATCTTTCATATACCAAAAGAATTTGAAGATAAATTTTTTAATAATAAAATACGTTAACAACAATTTATCATCACATCGTTATTTGATTTGATTGATTGAATTTTCATCAATAAGATTTGATTCTCGTGAAAAAAATTGTTATTCTATTTTAATGGTTTATTTAATGTAGGTAAGTATACTCTTACTTGATATTTAAAAGAATTTATATATGCCTTCAGCAAAGAAGAAATCAATTTCACTGGATAGATGAAGCCATTGTTAATTGACAAATATAGATAGAGATCTGCAAAAAAAGTTAATAATGTATGTACGGTGTTAAATAAATCATTTTCATCATCATAGATTTTAATAATTTCACAAGTACGCAAATTGGGCATCAAGGACTTATTATGTGTGTCTTTTTACAATTAAATTTCCATTATTCTCATTTTATCCTAACTCGTAATTTGATGATATAATCAACAGTTATCTATTTATGCACATATCTGTTGAATCAAACCTATTTTTATTAACCGCCTTGTCAAACTCAACTTTAATATCAATGGTTTGATTTTTTTTTCTTTCATTTTAAAAGTGCTCGCCGGATTTCAAAACCTTATCACAATAATAATTTTAAAGAAAAAACCATTGCTTGGTTGTAATTTATTTGTAGTAGTGATTATTTTTAACTTGATACATTAATTTTAATATTAATATACATATGTTTTAAACCTGAATGCCCCAATTAGATATGGGATATACTGCAACAAAACCAGATTTAACATTATTATTATAAATTTCAGGGATAGTCCATAATTAATTGAGTGGCAGAAATTTCACGTACTTGTAATAACCTTTTAACTTTTAACCAATAATTATTTCTTGGAATAATGAATAACTCCCAAGTTTCGACTTGGAAACAATAATCCCTTATATTTCAAATCACAAACCAAAATTATAATAAACCTTTTTCAGATTGATCCATGCAATTATAATAAATGGGGTCTGTACTAGGAAAATCGACCTTCCAGCTGATTTTTTTTTTTTGAGTAATTCTGAAATATTTGTTGAAAATCACGTGACAGTCTATGAATTTGAACGTGATTTCAGGGATCAAAATTTAGAACGTGATTGTGATATTAACTCTTATCTGTGTTCATTTTCCAAATTTTAATAATAAATGGAATTAATTTGAAAGGATTAATTTTTTTATAATAAAAAAAAACATACAGGTATGCAAGAAGTATTAGATTGTTATAATCATATTGTATTGTTGAAATTCAAGCATTGATAATCAATCATTATCACAAATATTCCAAGCCCTTTTCATCAATGATACTCATTTAATATAGACGGCACATAAATTTCCAATTAATATATATTAACATCAAAAATCAAACATTTGTAACCAAATTCTATAACCTTTTCCCTCCACAGCAACAATGCAATAACATTCATTGAATTTAATCTTCTAACTATACTGTATATATATAATTAATAAAATAAATATATGCGTGTGCAAATATTAAATATGTATATGCATACATATATAAATATAAATGATACATTGCCAAATCCTATTGATAAGTTACAGGTACGTTTGCCTGTTTCATATTCCATATTCTTAAAATACTATTCGAACTCATAATAATCATGTTAAAAGTATGTTACTACTTTAGAATGCATACTTGATATGAGGTTCAATAATTGAAGCCTCGATTTAGCTGCTGTTGAGGCAAGATAGCCATCAAAAAAGGCCAAGTAGATGAATTTCCTTATCACAAATGATTATTATACTATAAATTATATGCACACACTTTTTACTGTTGAAATGCTCGTTCTATCTTTTATATTCCAACTTTAAAAATACCATCGTCCATGCTTACTTCCACTCACACATATGTTTCGTTTAGACTTCTTTTACATGTCCTTGTAAACACCAAATACTTTTTCCACTCATGACATTCCAAACTTTACAGTACAATAATAACAACTGCCGCTAACCAAGGTGTTGCCTACACCTGCTAAACAAGAGATAACATTATTATGACTTCAAAATGTGCGGTGGTAATATGGATTATCAATACAGTCAAGCGGACCTCGCCACAGCGAATTATAATTAAATTCTTGTCACAACGGATTTTGAATAAATTTTCTTATGTGTTCCGTTCATCCGTTGTGACAAGGTTTGACTGTACTGATAGATGAAGAAGATACAATAGGATGATGGTTCAAACAAGATTAGACAAACGCTATACTTTTAATGTTGAGTCTCTCGAGTAAGTGATAATTAAAGGAACAGGCGGTTCTTTTGTGGTTAAATTAATGAATCGTGACTGTTATTAGTAAAGTTGCATGTACGCGTATCAAGTATTAACCAGGGAATTCTTCGTACAACCATCTCCCAAAAAATCGGAGCAACGAACCAAAGGAACAAATCAAAAGCAAATCGCCAAGTAAGTATTATTAGAGCATGATTGTCTTGGGAGCTATCCTAGTTCAGATATACACGCATAAAGAAAGAAAAAAGTACAATGGTTTGGAAATTTAAATAAAAGTTTTTAATTTATATTAGAATTATTATTATTCACAGATTAAAACAATAAATGATAAAAATTAATTTCTGTTTTGACTAATTATAGTAAAATATTGTCTTAATGCATCTGCTAACGTTTCTGGTAAAGAATTAATATTTTTCAAAACTACATAATAATCAAAAGGAAATTTGTCTAAATATCGTTCCATTTGTATTGTCATGTTTCCATCAACTAATTTATATTTAACTTGATTCATTGACATGATCGAATCATTTTCCAATTTATTATCAATAATAATAAAAACAACCATTATTTGTAATTCCACGGCTTTTCTAACCAGAGCTTTAATACTCTCATGATCTTCACAGACTCCATCTGAAATTATAATCTGAAGTTGCCATAATTCTTTAATTTGTGAACCATTTCCATAATAATTATTATTTCTTGCATTTTCTAAAAGTTTTATTGTTGATTCCATTAATGATTTAATATAAGTCTTATTCTGTTCAAATGTAAATTGGTGCAAAACTTGTGCACCTGCTTCACTATTAAATGGTTGATCAAAAGGATGAAGCAGTTGAACCTTTTCACCAAAACTAACAATCGATATATTTCCTACCTCAAGTTGAGAAAGCGCTTTTGATATAAGTGCCAAGGCCTCGTATGCCAGTTGAATAGAATGAGTTTCACTCATTGACTTTGAATCATCCACTGCAATCATAACTTGATACTGTCGTTTGCTGGGTTTAGTACGTCGTAACCATATTTTATCTTTTTTGAAATCACTTGCAATATAAGGAATAATTTTTTTCATATTTAATCTCTTACCAGTCCGATAGTCTCCTTTTAATTTGGTGGCCAGAGTTGGTTCTAAAATTAATCTCAATTGTTCACAAAGTCTATTAGCGAGATTACATGTGAGATTTTCATATTTAAACCAAAGTTCTTGGGCATTAATTAAATCATTCCCAGATTTTCTCCATTCTATTAATTTATCTTCCAAACTTTGACGCAAATCATCAACTTCTTGAAGCAAAGGCTCATTATTATAATTAATAACATCTTGTTGATCATTATATTGTTTATCTTCTTGCTTTGTGTCATCATTTTTTTGCTTCAAAAAATTTGATCTTTCCTTTTCTTTTCCATGTTCTTGGTTATAATCATTATTGTCATTATTAAACATCTGTTCTTGATGAAAATTGATCTCTTCTTCTTTAGAGGAAATTTCATGGTCCATTTCAATATCTTCTTCTATACCATGATTAATTTCGTGATTAGATTGATCATCAAATGCACCTAGTGATTTTATTTGTTCTTCTAAAGCATTTCCCATAGCTTGAAGATCATGAGAATTTTCATCATTTTTGAGAAACTCAAATTCCTGATGATTTTCTAAAAATGATTGTTCGGCTTGTTTTTGTTTATCATTGTTATCTGACTGAATTTCATCAGGATTTTCAAGAACATTAAGTCTTCGTTGCCACTGTTCTAGTGCATCGCCAAGAGATCTATGTGGGTTAACATCTTTGAATTTTGAATCTTGGTCCAAATTTTCACGTTTATTATCATTGATGTTTTCATGATTATTTTTTATATTTTCGTCATAGTTTAATAATTTATTACTCGAATTACCTTGATACTGATTATCATTATCATTATTATCATTATCATCATAATTATTATTATTACTGCTATTATTACTATTGTTATTATCCATGAAATCTTCACTTGTATCTGGAACCGAGCGATCATTTTTTTGAATGTTTGTCTCTTCTGTGTCAATGGCTTCTGATGAATTATCATTGGCATCATTTTTGGATCTTGAGTTTTGTTCCTTATTTTGGGTCTCACTCCTATCATTATTTAATAAATTATTACTTGATTCATCTTTATAATGATCATTATCATTATCCGATGCCATATGATCATCTTCCTGACTATTTTTTTCTTCTGTGTCAATGACTTCTGAAGGATTATCATTGGAATCATTTTGAATCTCTAATTCATTATCTTGATTTTGATTTTGTCGAGTGTCAAATTCAGGCTCATCAATGGACATATTATCTGATAAATCTTTTTCTTCGTCTTCATAATTGTCTTCTTTTTCTTCTTTTTGATTTTCTGGGTGATCATTGTCCAAGTAGTCATCGTCACCATCATCACCATCACCGCCATCATCACCATCAATCATCATATCATCAGGCAATTCTAAAGTTTCAGCTTCTGGAATTTTAATAGTTTGTTGATCATGTTGCCCAAATTGTTTTTCTTCATCTTCATTATATCCTTCATCTTGACCTTCATCAAATTCCTCTTGTTCATCATCAAAATCATGATCAGTTAATTTTTGTTTTTCTAATTGTTTTTGAGCTTCTTCGACCGAATGATCATGATTTTCATTTGCAACAATGTCAGATTCGTCTTTTGAATTTAGACCTTCTTTTGAATCACTAGTTTCTTTGCTCTCTTCAACATTTTCAGTAGAATCATCATCCCACATTTTTTTATCGACTGCATTAGGATCCGTTTCGTCAACGTTTCCCATATGTTCATCCAAATCCGAATCTCCTTCAGATAATTCACTTTGATCATCATCATTATTGTCATTTTTTTCTTCAAGATCACCAATTGAACCTTCAAAGTCATTTTCCATTTCCATGCCCTTATCATCATATTCTTCCTGATTTTCTTGGTTTTCTTGATTTGATTCGTTTTGTGTTCCTAAAACTTGTTCTTCATCTTCAATTTCATCGCTCACGTTTTTGGCACCATCTCCTTCACCGATACCAGTACCTTGAACACCCATCTCATTTCTACATTCTTCTCCGTCACTCTCTGTTTCCGTATCTGGCATGCAATAACCCTTTTGAAATATAGTGGTAAATGAATCACAAAGCACATACGTTAATTTATTTAAAGATTTATGATGGAAAATGAAATTAGATAGATAGTATAAAATTATCAAATTATATTGATGTATAAAGGGGTGTAATCGTTGTAATAAAAACAAAAGTAATTCATGAAATTCATTATTATCAAATTGTTTATCTTTCAATAATTCATAAACTGTCATTTGAATCTTGTTGAATTGAGGCAAAATTGATGATAATTGTGATTTTTTAACAAACGTTAAGTAATATTCATGTTCTTGGCGAATGTATCCATCATCATCCGCAATTGATTTTGATTTGTCATTATCCGATTCTGTTTGATAAGTTTTAGAGTTATCATTTTCCGTTGTAGATTTAATTGATTCCTTTTGACGTTCTTTAGCTTTGCGCAATTCTTGTACCGCTACTAAAATTCTATCCAACAAATTACTGATATCATTAACCAATCTACAAAGAGCTGTTGTCTTTACTTCATTGTCACATTTCCAAATACTTTGATCAGAATCGAAAACGTGGAGATTATTAATTCTCGTGAATAAATAACAATATAGCGGTTCTAAAATATGAGAAAATTCAGGAATCTGAATGTTTTTTGATTTTACAAAATTATAAAACTGTTTAATCAATTCAATATCATTTTGAATGAGATTTGAGAGGTCATTGGTAATAAAACCTATTTTTCTAATAGAATACTCTGAATACATTATTATCTGATTGTATAAATCAATGAATTCATCACGAATTAACGAAATTTTTTCAAGCCAATTCTGCATCTTTCCAATAAAAATTTCAACATTTTTTCCTTGTAAACTATTATTATTTGAGTCCAGTGATAATAATTCCTTTTGAAGATCAAAGATTAAACATGAATGAGATAATAAATAAACTATATCATCCAGAATAATTTTGAAATTTTTAATAAACTTTTCGTTCAGGTGATTTAAAGATTTTTTAGGGTGGGTTATATGCAAATTGTAATTGGAATAGATTCTACTAAATTGTAGAACAACACCAGAAAATTCAATGTAATTTTTGTCTAAATTATGTAAATATTTACGTTCCTTTACAATAAGACTCAATAGATCCTGAGAAAATCCAAGTCCTTTATGTACTTCTTGCAAAGTCAAATCTTTGGAGGGACTGCTAGTAGCTAGATTACAAAGACATGACATTTTTGCAATAATTCTGTAATAATAATCATCAGCCTTGTCGCTAATTTTTATCATAGATTTTAGTATTTCCGAGTTCTGTTGAAGATTCAAATTAGTATTATTTTGACATGATATCGATTCCACATTTTTCAAAGATTGACCCAATCTTAAAGTGCCCAGTCGAAACATATATCCAACTAAATCTTTTAGTTTCTCGTTAGTTTTCTTCTTAATAAAAGGCCTCAATCCAATTCTTTTCAATTCTTTCAAAAGATCAACAAATGCCTTCTTTTTAACCATTTTTTGATTTTTAATTAAATTTTTGTTTTTTTCATTCATTACTACAGGTGTTTTTTCTTGAAGTGTCTTGATCCTATGTATAATTTCGATTGCAAAGTCTTCAATCTTTTGGTTTTTAATTGATTCCGAATTCACAAGCAATTCATTGTTACAATAAGAATGAAGTTTCTTTAACGTTTGGTCTAACTTAATAAACCGATCCGATAAGTTTGGAATTTGACTATAAATTATGGTAATTAAATTGTCGATATTTGGCGATGATGACGTTAAAGGCTGAATGGTCGATCTCAAATCAATGGAATCATTTTCAACCGTTTCACTAACTCTTGCCTCAGATTCAAAATTTTTTGCTTGATAATCAAAAATTATATCTTTAATTGATTTATCAAGTATAATTTTGTATTTTTTAATGCATTTGCTAAGTTGTCTATGCGTTTTAGCCGCACTTTGTTTAAGTGCATAAATATTTACATCTTTCCAGCTAGCAATCTTAACAAATTCTTTAAGTTCCTTTTCAATAGGCTTACATAATGTCTTTAATGTTGCGTTGCGATGTGATAAGAACTGAGAGTAATACTTGAAGACGTTTAGGATTGTATCAGCTGTGGTATTATAATAAGAAAGTCTGCGAGTAATTATTTTATCTGAATTTTTTTTGATAAAATAAACTTTCAGGGAAAGATGTTGATAAAAAGAATAAAGCAGCTCTAGTCGTGCTTCAAAGTCACCAATATTTGAAGATTGTAGGAATTGATCCAATGCACTAACGATTCCTGTAATATGTTTTCCAAAATCACCATCGTCATTAATTTCTCTTTCACCTTCATCACATTCTTCTTCTAGACTATCATATTTATCAGCAAACTCATCAATAGGATGGATTATGCTGTTATAAAGATGAAACCACCATTTATAAGCAGATTTTTTATAATAAGTTTCTTGAGCTGTTAATAACTTTGACCAACAAGTTAGTTCAAGTTGTCGCCAATGAATTATCAACTGCGTGATTTCTTGTTGATGAGATTTTATTGATACTTCACGACTAGCAAAAACTTCCCATTCATCTGATTTTTGAAGCAAAATTTCCAAGCCTGTAAGTAGTTTTGCTAGTGGTGAATCTAAAGAAAATCCATTTATCCTACTGCAAAGATTATCAATCTGCTGGAGAATAGCATGTTCAGGCCACATTTTAAGCAGTTTCTTAATGGTCTGTTGTAAATTAGATACAATGGGACCCAATTTTTTGGCTTCTATAACATTTTGATCATTATAGAAATCATAGTTTTTTTCCTTGAAACTAATACCACCACCACTATTATTACCATTGTCATCATCATAATCGCTGTCAAAAGATTCTCCAACTCCAGTACCATGAATTAACCATTCTTTTAATATCGATGTCCCAAAAACCTGAACAATATCAATATCATCATCTAAATCCTCAGGAAAAAGTTTACCACATGCTTTTGCGATACTTCGTGCCATAATAAAAGACTCCCAAAATATTTTCTTTGTTGATTGTCTTTGATTTTTTATTTTCAAGCAATAAGAAGTGTGACTGAAATCGTTGAAGAAGGTTTGATAAATAGTACCAACTTCAATAAGGATATCATTGTTTAAATCTTCCATGGGAAGTGTTTCATTGTTACTATTATCATTGTTATTTACATCATCGTCAACATCAAAGTATTCATGAATGTAATCTGGAAACATTTGTTTTAATTCAATTTCTGATAACTGTTCGTCTGTGGCAAAAGAATTATTCTTGGTTTTGGTCTTGTAAAGATTCTCTCCTTCCTGAGCCAATTTAATTTTCTGTTCCTCGGCAGCCAAGTATATCTCGGATATTTCACAAAGAACCTCTTCCAGGGTATCAAAAATCTTTAATGCTAAATAACCATGCTTTGCCGCATGTTTATAAATACATTTTACAATTATAGTTAAATATTCCAGGTAATTATTCCATTTATCTCGTGATGATAGGCTTTGAGAAAACATTAAATTTTTGACATTTGTTAATGATTCTGGAGAAGCAAGCATCAAAACATCATCATTTTGAAATCCAGATTGTGTCATAGTGATCAGAGTTTTTAATACTTTGTAGATTAAATTATCATTTGTTGATTTCAAGACTTTGTTTGCTGAAGCCATCAATCTGAAGCCATATTTCAATTGAAATATCGCTACAAAGATTGGTTGAAGTAAGTCTTGATAAAGTGGATAATTGGTTGACATTCGTTGAATAAATTGCATGCATTTATCCTGGAATAAAATTTCACGTTGTAGAACAGAAATTTCATTTAAATTGCCTTCCAGATTTTTTAAAAGATCCAAAACGTGAAAGGAGTCAATGACATTGTTACAAAGGTAGTGAATTTGATTGAAGAGATCGTTCAATTGTGATGTCTCGGGTCGTAAAGTTAAATTTGCAGAATTATCTTTCAAGAGCAATTTGATTCTTTCCAACTCATTTTTACAATTATCAATTATCATGTTTGAACTTTCACCGTTATACCATTTTTCAATTTCTGATCTGGCCAATATTTCAATATCTAATTTGGCTTGTTTATGATGAAGAAAATCACAAAATATATGGGGTTCTGCGGTCGGGTCAAATGCATAGTTTGGAATGTATAGTTCCATAAATCCAAGTGCCACAAATATCCATGCTTTACCAATATCCATTCGAATCAATTCAATTAAATCCACGTTATCGTATTTGTTTAAGTATTGAATTATAGATTGAATAGCTGGTATAAACCATCTCTGTAGTGTAGAGGAAAAAGATAAATCATCAATCTTTTCCAAATCGGAAATTACTATAACAAGCATTTCAATTGCTTCCGCAGCATTAATATTAGCATCAAATTTAACATCATCTTGATCCAACAGAAAAGCACGATTTGTTAATTCGATAATTTTATCAAACTTTACAAAAATATAATTAAATTCTTCTAATGAATGTTTTTTGTCAACTGTAGAAAAAATCTGCAACGTGTAATGTAATATAGTATTTTAAAAATTGAAATAATTAAACAAACAATTTAACAAAAACTCTTGAATAATTATTTAAATGAATAAATAAAAAAGAAAGAAGCTCACTTGTTTTAAATATAGTAATAGAAGCGTAATGTCAATATCACATCGTTTCACTTTGAAAAATAATTTTTTTGAAATGATTTTTCTAAACTTTTCGATCAGATTCAGATTTTCATTGTAATTGCACACTGCCATTGATTGAATATTAAAACTATCATAGGAAGATAAATAAAAAAGATTATCGTTATGAAAAAATAATTTTGATAATAATTAACAAACATCAATAAATAACTCACGTAAATTCAAAAAAATAATTGACAAAAACACTTTGGTATAACCTTGCAGGCCCTAAAGTATGCTTTTGAATTATTATAAAAAAATAAGTTGGTTAATATTTTTAAAAAAAAATACATATAAACGTTAATATTTAAATCTAAATTTACCTTCATATATACATCATCATTGAAACCTGAATCCATCAAATATAAATCATAAGTTAATCTCCACAATCTATTATGCCATCCATACAAAACATCTTGAACAAAGTTATTTAATATGGACTTTGCTTTTTCACTTGGTACTATCAATAGAAAGATATATATATATATATATATATATAAAAGCTAAACAACATGTACATAAACTTGTATTTTCTTGTTAATATATAGTAACTAACCATTAGAACCTTTTCCATAAATCCATATTATCTGTTGATGAGAAGCAAAATCTAATGGAGGCCTTGTTCCATTTTTTATAAAATAGTCACAAAATTCCCCTATCTTTATAAGAATTTCACAAAATTTATCCTGCCAAAAAAAAAATAACACAATAAAATAACTTAAATGTCTGTTTATTGAATAATTAAAATAAATTGATAAATGATAAATAAAAAGGTATACCAACATTATTCAAATAAGTTTTTTCAGAAGTAGCAAATTGAAGCATTTGTAGAATTTGCATTTCTTGAATCATTGATGAATAATCAATAATACTATTCATCTGATTTGTTTTTTGGTCTTGAAATGATAAATTTACTATAGGTTGACTATCAATTTTCTGCATCACATTTGAATCTAGAATTTTATTTCTTATATGCTAAAAAATAATCATCAATATTACTATTTAGTTTCGAATAATCATTGAATTAAAATATTATAATAAATAATAAAATAATTTACCTCTGGAAGTTTTTTTATAGTGTTAAACAACTCAATTGATTCAGAACCATGATTTTCCTCAATAAAATACAATGAAGTAAATGCATCAATTAACATTTTTTTTATTTCAAGGTTAGTATTATTATTATTATTATTAAGATTAACCTCACTGATTTCAAATTCTTTTCCAATCTTGATTAATTCTTGTTCCAACTGAAATAATTCAATTTTTGAAAATGTGATATGATGAAATCTATGCCAAATAGTACTCATAAACATCCCTGTTTTCAGAGTTTCATCTTTAATAATACGATCAAGAATATCTATTAGATGTTGTGCGTTATCAACTTTATCTTGAAAATTTTCAACAGCTTTGTATATCATTTTAATATAAATATGAAATTTCCCTAGATCAAGAACCTGTGCGCTTAAATACTCCCATAGAAAATCACGCATATCCAACAAATCATTAATTGCTGAAATTTCCAATTCACCACAATTGCCATTTTCAATCCTGGATTTTACAACATTTTTAAGCTGTTGTAAAATAGGATATATGAATGAAATAATCTTATGACAAATTTGCGTTTCTCCGATATTGCCTTGGTTATAACAATATGATTGTTGAGCTAATGACATATTTGAAACTTTAATTTTTGATGCATTTTTATATACGATATTTTCGAGAAATTCTTCCTGATTAACACGTTTAGATAAGGACAATGATTTGATATTTGATGAATATTCTTCCCAGACATTTAAAATCATTTCAGAATTTGCATAATTGTGATGTGTTGTTGTTGTAAGATTACTAAATAATTTGTGTATAGTAGGATTATTTGTAATATCAAGAGACTATATATATATATATATATATAAAGGAGGAAGGAAATATTATGATTAATTTTTTTAATTTGGAATAATTAATATTTTAAAAAACTAATTCATTTCACTCACCAGACAATTCATAAACGTTTGATCAACCTTTATAAGATTTGATAATTGGTTTTTAAAATCAATCAATATAGGAGTACGAGAATGATTTACAAGGCTATGGATCATAAATTTCACATATTCTATGTGAGTAGAAATTAACTCAAAAAGATCCGTGGACTTGAACATGGATAAAATAAAATCAAGCCAACATAATCTTAATGAAACATCTTCCATGGAAAAATGTTCAACAAAATAGTCACAGGCTACTAGTAACTTTTGTGATAATCCAACAACATCAGCAGTTAAAAGTTCTTGTTTACATAGTTGATGCAATAGATAAGATCCTTGGATACAAATCATGGCCAAAGATGGTTCTTCTTTTAATAAACCACCACCGACAAATAATGGATAACTTGATAAATAACCAGTTTCAGACAATATTGATTTTTCGTTGTTAATGTAATGTGAAATTGATAGAATCTCATTAAAGTCTTTTTCGTCAATAATGACGCCAAATTGATCAAAAGTATTTTTTAAAGCTGATGAAAAATTTTCTCCTCTTTGAAGCCTTTCCAATATGAAATTTGTTAATGCCATATAAGAACCAAGATTATTTTTCAGCAAACTAGTAGTAGCACTTGATTTTTCTTTCATACTTTGTAAATATTTATCGATAAATAAAATAAGATTGTCAGATCGAAGGCCATAACCGTTAAATAATTTTATTAGATCTTGTTTGTTTTCAATGAATTCTGATCCCAAAAGCGATATTTCAACTCCACGATTTCTCATTGCTTGAGACAACTCACCATTTCTAGGATTTACAGTCATAAAAATTCTAAAATCTTTATGTGGTTTGTAAACTTTAACCTCTCCATCTATCAATCCACGTTCATTCAAAACTATCACGCCATTTGGTTCAAGCAACGAATTTAATCTATCCAAAACTGATGGACTACAAACATTGGCATTATCAATTAAAAGCCAGTGCCCTTTCTCAAGCGCATTAATAAGTATTCCATCAATCCACTCAAAATGACCTTTCACAGTTTCGCTTTCCAATGTTTTAATTTTGTCGATCTGTGTCTGTATTGAATCCAGCATGTGTTGAAAATCAATAGGATACGTTGAAGATAAATAATGAAGGTCAGCGGTTGCCTTTCTTATAGATTCGATTAATTGATCAACTATTGTGTAATCTATATGTCTTTTGGAAAGAGCAGGACTAGAATTTTTTTGGCTTATTCCAGTATTAAATTTGTAATTACTTTCAAGCGTGAATATCATGTCATTAAGTTTCTGGATTATTTGAATCAACTTGTCATTCCCAACATTGCTGGTATTAGTTTGACATAATGTCAAAATACATTTGATAATTTCATTACATATGGAATTTAATTGTTCCATTGCTAAAAGTCGATGTCTCGCTAAGTCCAATTGTTCAAATCCACCTAATAATTCCGCAGTGTCCACCGAACTATTCATTGTGAATTCTTCAAGTGTGTTACCTGTAAGATCTGCTAACAATCTAATCAGACTAGTTTTACCAGAAGACTCGGGTCCAGTCAATATCACCATCCAATTCATTTCAACACATTTCATCAATGCTTGAAAAGGTCTCATTTGAGATTGAAAAATATGCAATGGAATTTCTAGAAATTTTGTATTTGAGATAAAGCATCGACGTTTCAAGATTGAATGACCAACTTGAAAAAATTTTGAATCAATATGGTAATATGGACGCCTTGGATGTTTGATATTTTTATCGAAGATTTCATTAAAAATCAAAATAATATGATCTCTATCTTCCTTGGTTCTCATTTTTTGAAGGTATAAAAGATCCAAGTAATCTTCTGGTTCAGAGTTATATCCAAATCCTTGGTCTTTATTCAACAAGTCTAACCAACGAAAAACATCTCTAAGATTAAATTCCCACGGGCTTCCATTTCGACCAAATACACATTCTATCATTGAATCTTGATAGACCCTATTATTAAAATCAATAATCTTTTCCAAAGTTTTGCAGTTGATTCTTGGAAAAAGGTATTTAGAAATAAAAAGCATATCATCTTTTGTCAGGTGTTCAATGTAAACTTGAGTGAAACGATTGGTAAAAGACTTTGGGAGACCTTTTCGACCACCCCCTTGATGAAAAGGATTTTGTGCCGCAAACACACGAAATTCGCGAGAGCAAGAAAATTCTTTATCCAATTCAGGTATGTAGACTGTGCCACGATGATCTAAACAGGAATTAAGACCTTCCAGCACCGATTGAGAAGCCAAATTCAACTCATCCAATAATATCCAATCTCCAGTTTTCATTGCCTGTAGAAAAGGCGCATCACGCCAAGCAAATTCGCAATTATCTCCACCTTCAACCGGAAGATCAGAGCCGAACAGATCCATTAAATCAGTTTGATCAGACAAATTAATACGGATCAATTTGTGGCCCGTTGCTGCCGCTAATGCTGAAACTAAACTAGTTTTGCCTACACCTGGACTACCCTCCAATAAAATAGGTTTTTTAGCTTGCATTGCTCTCAGAATTCTTAATGTATTATTCATGGTTGTAGAAGCTTGAAGAGTAAAAGAAATCGGTCGAGTGTCAAGAGAACCTTTAGGAATAAAAAATGGATGAATTCCAAAAACATTTTCAGTAGAACTTAATTTTTTAGCATCAATAAAATCATTATTAAAGTAAATATTAGAAAATTCAGGATCATCAATCAGTTCGACTAATTTTTTTAGGCATTTTACGCGAAAGTCTTTTAAGTTTAGTCCAGATGAAAATGATCCAGAAGTGGAATTTGAACCAAGCCCATCTATGAAAACAAGGAATCCCCCATGGATGAAACTTCTTTCTGCCCCAATTGATTCCACGGTGCTATTCATAAACAATACCCATGTTAAAATATCTCTCAAACTTGTAGTAATTAAATTGGAGCCCAAGGAATGTTTTAACCAATCAACAAAATTCAATATACGTTGCGCGTAACCTTTTAAGCTATTGTTATGATTCAACTTTGAATCGATTATTTGAATTAAATCTTCGTTATCGATTACTGAAGGTACCCAGATTTCCGTGAACCGATTTCTTAAAGCAGGTGATAATTCTTTTTTACCATAATCACCGCCTGGATTCATAGTGGCTAAAAATTGAAAACCAGGTTTTGCTACTAACTCTTCAATTTGTTCTCCTCCTTTTTCTGGTAAAACTAAAATCCTACTTGGCTCAAGAACACTATTAAGACGTTCAATAACAGAATCATCGGCCAAAGAAATTTCATCTAACAAAAAGAATTCCCCATTTTTCATTGCTTGAATCAAGGGTCCATCATGCCATTCAAATAAAGTATTCAATTGCTTACAACGTAGCTTTAGCAAGCTAACTGAATAACACTTTTCTGTTGATGATGACAATTCCATTTGTTCATCATTATCATAATTGTTATCATTAATGCTATCATTATTATTATTATCATTATTATTATAATTCTCATCCCTGGAAACAATTTCAAAAAGTTCAATCAAATTTTTCAATTCCATTTTTTTCAAATCTATATTGTTCTCTAAAGCATATTTTAACAAATATTCCGACAAATCATTTTTAAGCTCAGCACTCAAAATTCCCTTATTTCTCAAGGGTCGTTGACCACCGAGCAAATCAGCAGTTTCAGTGCTATGATGACAATTAACAATATGAATTTGGGAACCATATATTTCCGCCAAAACTTGACATATTGTAGTCTTACCACATCCAGTTTCGCCAACTAATAAAACAGGTTCGTTAAATTTTAAACAATTAGCAACCAAAGTAAATAATCTTTTCATGGCTTTTGTCCATACCATCATATCATTGTTATTGATGCGGTCACTAGTGTTTTGAATCAAATTAAATTTCTGAAACTCGTCCAATTTAGAACAATTGTACATTTGATTCTCGTCAATCTTGACTTTCATTACTGTTTCCAAAACTTGCTTAACAATTGCCTTTTCTTCAGGTATTCTTATTCTCTCGGCAAGAAGCATATAGCCTTGCTCGGCTAGTTCTTGATATCCAATTGCACATCTTTCAGCCCAACGAAATAAATCTCTCAAAGTAATATAACCGTGTTTTTGTTCAAATATCCTTGTTCCTTGTCGTCTCTCAATCAGTTGTTTGTATACCATAACTAATTTTTTGCAATAAGATGGAGCAATGCTACATCTTTCCGACAAAATAGTTTCCAACTCACCTTCTGGAATATCATCGAAATGAAGTTCCATAAACCTATTACGAAAAGCCCGGGACAAAATTTTTCTGCCACCGTAAAGTCCTGGTGGATTCTGGGTAGCAAACAACATAAAATCTTTGTGTGGCTTGACTATTTCGTTGGTTTCAGGTATTAAAAGTTCTCGGTTATCATCTAAAAGTCTATTAAGTGCCTCCATGACATCCGTTGGTGCCAAATTTAATTCGTCCAGAACAATCCAATATCCATTTTTTAAAGCTTCGACGAGAATACCTTCCTGAAATTCAAGTTTCCCTTCCGAATTTGAAACATAAGTTCCCAAATATTCCTGAAGATCTGTATGTTCATGATTATTTATCCTAACAAATCGATGCCCAGTGCATTTAGCCAAATATTGTATCATGCTGGTTTTACCGGCAGAGGTTGGTCCTTGAAGCAAAACAGGAAATTTTTTGCTCATTAATACTCTTGCGAGATTATTTAGGCTTCTTTTGATGGAAGGTGTCAATATGTAATGAGGCATTTCTTCTGGTGGGTAATTTCCGAGCGAAAGCCAAAAACATCCAAATAGAACATAATTATTATCTGACGATGGTTGTTTGGGTATTTGTTTTATTAGTGACTTTGGATTTTGAACATCTTTCAATAAATATTTTTCAATTAAGCCTTCCAAAACTACTACACTTTCACCATTCAGTTGTGTCAAAAAGGTCATACAAAAGCCTTCATATATCGACCGTCTTAAACCATAAGTTTGAATAATCTGTGTGACATACCTTAGAGCTCTTGTCAAAGTTCTCATGCTGAAATGTGGACGCTGGTTAGCACCGTCGACAATTTTATGTTGATTTTCCAAATCTTTGACGGCAATATAAAATTCAACTATATCATTAAAAATTCGTTCATCCTTACTGGTTATATAATCGGATAAATATTGTTTTACAATAATCATCAAGTCATCAAATCTGTTGTCTATTGGGTGAACGTAAAACTCGGTGAATCTATTCCTGAGGCCTGGTGGTAGATCACGTTTACCAACATCTGTAGCAGGATTCATACAAGCGAAGACTCGAAAATTAGGATGTCTTTTTATAGGTTCGGAATCACCTTTTTCGGTTAATAGTATAGAACTGTTTGAATCTTGAAGCAGACCACTTAAACATTCTAATGTTTCGGTAGAAGCCAAATTAACCTCATCCAAAAGAATCCAATCGCCATTTTTCACAGCTTTGACCAAAGAGCCTTCAACAAAACTAAAAACAAATTTATTTTTTATTTGATTTAATTGAATTTCAAATTCTTGAAGTTGATTTTCAAAAATTTTCCAACGACCACGTAAGTCAGGAGTTAACAGTTTTCGTGATGATCGCTTCTGATTATTATCATCACCACCATCATTGTCATCACCATTGTCATCATTATTATCGTCATTATTATGATTATTATCGAATGTTTGATTGGCCATCTTGGCAGCTTGCTTTAATAAAGTTAAAAACTTTGTGTATTTCTTTGATGTAAATACTTTACGTACAGCTTCTAAAAAATGCGGATTCCTTTTAATCGAAAAGGTTTTCTCAAACAACTTGTCAAATTCATCTTTTAATGGTATGGCAAGAATTTTCACATCGACAGGTTTGAAGCCACCAAGCAAATCACTACTGTCTGTCTGTTGAGATAAGTTAACTACAACAAGATTTTGATTAAGCATATCAGCCAAATGCTGAATAACAGTAGTTTTTCCGGTGCCAGTTTCACCAACCAGCAATACTGGTTCTTTTAAATTTACACAAACAGCTATTTGTTCCATTAATCTTAAAGAATGTCCAGTATTAGCAAAAATATTTTTATGGTTGATAGCATATTTTAAATATTTTTCCTTTTTGCTATCCAGAGAAATTAATTTGGCTCTCCCTATTATGATATGGTCATTGGTAATATAAAGATTGGGAACATAAGAGTTCACATAATAATGTACTCTTTCTGCAGTAATACCCAACACATCGCCAAGTTTCAGTAAAGAATTTATCCAAGCATCAAAATCAGAAATCATGGCGCAAAAACAATCAGCAGCCTCACTGAATAAATCATTTCTAATGTCATTGATGTCATAATGCGTATATGAGATTGGTTGGTTGGTTGAAAAAATGGTTTTTGATCTCAAAAGTAGCTCACTCCTACGACACCATTTCATCAGGTCACGGATAGAAATATATCGAGCAAAATTTGAAGTGAATGAGATCAATTTTGGTGGCGGTGGTGGCGGTGATTCCGCTTGAAGATCAGATGTATCCGTTTGTGATATTATTGGTGATGCTGGTGATGAGTTTTGATAATAGGTTATTAAAGAATGAAGAATTTCGATAATATTTTGATTGTCAAGATTTTTAAAAAATTGATTCTTTATAACGTATTTGAGTTCATTTGAAGTTAAAGGATTTATGGTAATTCTTGTCCACAAGTTAGTTTCAATATTTGAATTGATAGAATTTGAAGATTTTTTCATTCCAACAGGAATCTGACTTTTAGTAGCAAATAAATGAAAATTTGGATGAGCCTTTATTTTTTCACCTCTATTGGGAATAAAAAGTTGCCTTGTTTCAAGCAGAGGTAATATAACAGAAATGACATCATTTGGAGCAAAATCAATATCTTCGATTAAAACCCAACGACCTTTAGATACAGCAGTAGTTAGAACTCCAGGTTGCCAGCGGAATGAAGCAGGCGTTGAAGTAGAAACATAAGTCCCTAGCAGGACTTTTGAATCAGTTTGATCGCCTAAATGTATTTTTATAAGATCTAAATAATATATAAATACATTTTGTTAGAGTTTCTTTTTAGGAAGAATATATATATATATATATATAACAATAACCTTCACCATGTCCAGTTAAATATGCAAGCTCTTCGACCAAAGTAGTTTTACCAGATCCGGTTACTCCTTCAAGTAAAATTGGCGAATTCATAGAAAGTGCTAAACATATTGAATGTAGATTAAGTTTTGTTGTGTCTGTTAATATAAGACGATTATTTGACAATGACGTTGATGCTGATGATGAAGATGATGAATTGGTTAGAGGGAGTAGAACACCACAAATATTGATGGTAGCTGGAGATAAATCAGAATTATTCAAGTAACTTGATGATATTGAAAATACATTATTATTATTATTTTCACAATCGAGTAGCAGAGAATGTTGCTTTTTAGCATTAGAAATCTCATCAAATAATCTCAACATTCTAACATCTATGATTTCACCATTTTCCAATTCCAAGTAATTGATGATGTGATGGGATTTAGAAGAACATGTCCAATATTCTAATGCAATCTCTTGTTGAGTAACACTCATATTATAAACAATACTTAAACATAAAATAGTCAGGTAACGAATAGTGTTATCAGAATGCAATAATAGTTGAAAAAGCGGAGTCCAATTCCACAGGTGAACAAAACTACTAACGGAAAACTTTAAAAGTCGATATATTGTCACTAATAATAATTGTAGATCTTTTATTGATGAAGAATTCTTTTTACATAAATTTACAATGTTAGATCAATAAAAATCAGAAAATGAAAAATCTTTTTTAATTGTAAAACTTTACCTCCTCATGTAAATAATTCAACCTTTCTAGTAAGGAAGGTGATGTAGAAAAAAAAGAAATAGCAATACTAATAATTTATATGTAGTATATAATTTTCAATATACTTTTAAATTGATCTAGTTCTTTCTATATACATATATATATATATAAATACATAAATATATAAAACATGTGCACTTCTTACCTCAACAGTTGGGGAGTTATTGGTAATAATTGAGTAAAAGCAAGAGCAACCTTTTCAATTCTCAAAAAGTATTCTTTATTTGAAAATAATTGGTTGCTTTTAGTGTTATTGTAATTATCAATATTTAGTTGTAATGACCAGCGTGAAACTAAATCAATTAGAATTGGTCTGAGTGATTCAGCAATTTTTAAAGTTAATTTAGGATGTAAAAGCAATTCAGATATAATATCTAATGATTTTATGAGCTCATTTGGATCCTTATTTTTAATCTCTGCCCATTTATCGGTTGCTTGTTGCAATAATTCTTGTTCTATCATTTTCTGCATTTTCTGATATAAAAAAAAATTTTGACAATTTTCTATTGATTATCAATCACGACATTCACATTTTTCGTGGAACAATCCAGTTTTTGCAAACAAAAAATTTTTATGCATCATCATTAGAGGAAAAGTTCCTTTGTGTATTCAGGTAATCTTTGTCAGCTACTTTTTCAGGCTTGTGTAAAAATATTAATTATTTCTCATCCTGACATTCTTCGTACCTGCATGCTTAATATTAATACTCTTCCGGAGGGTATACCTTACTTGAACTCCAACAGAGAAACTATCAAAATGCGAAAACTTGCCATGCTAATCACAGCTTACAGAACCTGTGCTTTCTATAAGAGATAGAACATTTGAGAGATAAAGTGATAAAAAAAAAGTGAACGTATTTTTTTATTTAGTAGAAGGCAACTTTTGACACGTAAATCGTGAATCCAAAGCATGGGTGAAATCCCAGCCCAAATGATAGTATGAACAGCTCTTGACATGTAAATTACGGATAGAGTATGAGTGAAATCTCAGTTCTGCTATGCGCGATCCATTTTTTTTTCAACCTTCATGCTTCTTAGAATGATTTGAAATGACGATATACTAGTAACGCAAATATATATATGACCTTAAAAGGTCAACCTCGAGCTCAAAGAAGTACAGTATCTACGTTTTGGTCATCAATTATTAATCGGCGAAACCAGGTATATTATTGACAAATCCTCAGGCTCTGGGTGATCCGCAATTCTTATACAATGTTTAATATTATTTGTCCGTCAAGGATGCCTCAAGTAGTATATTCATTTCTTTATTTTATCTTAGTTAGAAAAGCGGCTACTAGAAGATAGCCGGTAAAATTTTCCGAGGGAGATAAATTGTCATTAATATACAAAGCTCAAGATACAAAAGAACAATATATTATTTAGTTGAAATTGACAAACCACCTTCAAAATATTTCTTGAAGAGAAGGTTCTTTTATATTATTATACTACAATCTCGCACCTATAAAAATTCACCGTTAAATGAAAATGATCCTTAGTATTAGGCTTGCTACTTGGACAGACTTATTGTATTACATGTGGTACCAGAAGAAGCAAAACAGCTTGAGCCTTATTTTCCCTTTAAATTGACTATTAGTATAGAATCTATAACATCATCTGTAACTGATATATATATATATATCTGATGATGAAATTTTATATATTTTATTTTGCATTTTTAATTGAATTTTTTCTCATTGCACTAGCTAAATTTCCCACACCACTCTTAGTTTCAGAAAATGAATATATTTGTTTGAAAGCTTTTTTGTTTCATTCTTCAAAGTATTCATATTATAGTATCATCACTCACCGACGGCACTGCATCAACTTTCAAGGCCTTCAATGTCAATAAAAAGCTAATATCATCAAACAAAGACAAAACCTGTAAGAAATTAAAGTTGAAAAAATTACCTGTACTTATGATGAGTATAAACAAAACCAAATATATATATATATATATATGCAGGATCAGATGGATTTTCCTTTTCATACATATAAACTATCGAGAATGCCAGCAATGAATTGACCACAGTGGGATCCACATGTAGTGTTAATACATAGAGTCAGCCACACTATGTGGGGATATGTTTTACTATTATAACGGCATAGCCTGTTCACTGGCCATTACCACTATAACGTTATAACACCTATGGAAATGCACACTATGCCTTGGTCCCAACCTCTGGACTTTGAGATAAATGCACACCCTCTATACTCTGCACTGCATGGTATTTTGTCAATCCACTAATACGAAAACTCAACCCCTATTTTTCTTTAAAAAAAAATAATTGATCAGTTTAGAAGACTTTTTTTTTACTTGAGATTTATTTATTTCCTTGTACTGACATCTTTTCTTGTTTAATACAATATCATAAACATCTTAATAAACATGGTGCAAAACTTGTGTCTTTTACATGATATGTGATTGATTATACAAGGATGATACAGTATTATTATTAGCTTGGTTTTTGGCATTTTTGGCATGATCAACATTTTCACCTGGTCCATCACATTGATTAATGTTTCTGATCTTGACACATTCAAGAAAGTGTCTTTTTGTTTGCTGTTTCTTCCTTATCATATGATGCTCATGGTAGTTTTTTATTCAACGAGTTGCATAGCAAGGTAAGGAGGCAAAGCAACTCTAATATTTCCTGTACAACTCAAAATTGGCTAAATAAGATGAACAATAAAGGCAAAGTACCAATGTAGATAAAGATCTTTCAGTTTAAAACCAGGGGGATGATGTTGAAATTTGTGATATAGATTGTGATGGCAATGAAGAAACTGCTTGAATCAGGTTATTTTTATTTTTTTGATATGTATGCTTATGATGATAATGGTTATTAAAGATTAAAAATTAAAAATTACATTTGTTTTTTTGTTAAATATCATTGTTTTGGTGTGCATATTTGACATACAAACTTCGAAATTCCAAAGATATGACAATTGCAAGAAGTTATATAATATCACTATCAAATATAAGTAACTAATTATCTATAACTTCATTTAATACCACAACTATAGTAACTAATAAATAAAATAAATGACAAGATTTAACTTATTCAGGTAAGTCATCTGGTATAGTTAATTCAATCTGTTGAGTATCTAAAAAAATATTTATCACAAGAATAGATATTAATTAATAAATGTTATATATTTTAAAAATGAAAAATAATCAATGATTATAATTACCATAACTACTGATAATTGTCAGTTTATTGGAATTCACAGGTTGGGGAAGGTTTGTAAAATTTAATAACCTGCTAGTATAAACTGCATTTGGATGAATTGCTGTAGTAGCTGCAGTAATTGTTGGAGGATCAAACTTTATTTTGTCCATTTTTTCAAACTCTTTTTTAATTGGTCTAAGTTTTTTTTCCAGACTATATATTTCATAGAATAGATAAAAATCCTATCATTGGCTGTTATTGTATCACAAAAATTAAGTGAGATCAACCAATGAAAAATTGCATGTATTATTAATTTTTATTATATTATTTTTCTATAGGACTTATTAGATCAGTAAGAGAACAATATGATAGCTTATTTTCACTAAAATCTAAATATATTGATATACTTAACAATCATGCAATATAGAATTAATATATAGATATAATAATATTAGAATATTTACCCATAAGCATTTTATTTAATTTTTGATTTAGCTCTTCATAAGCAGGGACTGCATCAACATTATTTGATTCTTCTTCTAATAAATCATCATTAGGTAGTTCAAGTTCATCTTGAGTGTCATTGTCCATTTCTAATCGTTTATTATATGATTTAGACAATTCATCAATTGAATCTGAAAGGTAATTATGACAATAAACACAAATGCAATTTAATTTATTCCAGCAGTCATCATGATAAGCATGACCACATAATTTAACGCTTCCACTAATTAGAAAAGGATTTTCACATTCACTTGCATCACAGAAATTATTAGGTTCTGGAGATTGATTTGAATGATGTCCCAATGGAAGTGCTCCTCCAGGAAATCCTTTAGAAATTCCTGAAAAATACCAGTAAGGCTTTTTGATTTTTTTTCCTTCCCTTTTCACTTCAAATTTGCCTGAATTTTTTGAAAAATTGTCAAAAAGTTTTAATAAAAAAATTGCACCACTTTTTACCATTGTATCAATATTCTGTTTAGAATATGGATATGTTTTTTTAACTCTAAAATTTTGTGTGAAGTCATTATCATGACGTTGATAATCAATAAAGATCCCATCACGCCTTAACCATTCTGGAACTAAGACTTTTGCACTGGTATGCCTTCTGACAAGACTGTGAAAGTTCTCCACAGGGTACTCATCAAAAGCATTGAGGTGAGCTTTAAGTATTTGAATGATGGGGTGGCCAATTTTAATCCAATATTGAATATCGGATAAAAATGCAAGCATTATCTTATTATAATTCTTTCTTTGAAATCAACACATCATTGTCCACAGCTTGAATGTTGTCTCAACATATTTTTCAAAATGATTACCCCGAAAAAGCACTACATAAAGATCTAAAGTAGAAGGTATTAAGGAATCTAATAAATCAAAAAAAGTGCAGTATGCCAAATCCTTATTTTTATCAAAACGTTTAATAACATGCTTCCTGACTATTCTCCATGATGCATGAGCTACATATAGCAAAATATTAATTTTCCAAGGCTTGGGTTTAGCTGGCAAATTTTTTATTTTTTGAAATACAGCCTTATAAAATTCATTGAAGAAACTCCAAAATGTCAAAAAGCAACTTTCACGAGTATTAAGAGAAGCATGTAAAGCACCTAAAAAAGGCACAAGATGAGTGACAATGCTTGGTATTGGAGATAATTCATTGAGCTTGAGTTTTTGTATGATAGAGCATCTAATATATAGCTGCCCTGGAAAATCTGCAGGAACTGGTATTATAGAATGCTCAAGATAATTTTGAATTTCAGTAAAGCTAAAAAAATAAAAAATAAAAAATAAAATATTAATTTTATGAAAATATTAATTCTTTTTTAAAACTAATAGTTCAACCTGAAAAAGATATCCAGACATTTTAAATAATCACTAGCATTCTTTAAATTTTGTGGTAAGAAATCAATTAGCTTTGTAAATTTAAAGGAACGTTTGGAATGTGTCTCTATTAAATCAGCATCATAAGAATGAACAATCAATGAATCAATTAAGTCATCTTCATTTAAGTCTATCATATCAGTTACAAAGATCCATTTCATTTTATTTTGATTATAGCTTTCACAAACAATATTATTGAAATTCATTCTTAGTAAATTTTTTAGTAAGCCTGCTTCAACACCATTTGGGTTATGTATATTAGATGAACTAATTGGAATTGTTGGAGCATCAATCTTATTAATGAGTAGTGTTGCCATATGTGAGATTTGAGAAATAGATGTGGTACTTGGAAGTCTTGATTGATGTAGATTATGGTAGTCATCAATGTTTAACACCAAAAGATTTTGACACTAATATATAAAAAAAGTTAATTGGAAATTATAAAAATATATATATTTAAGTATTATTAATCTTTATATACATTTACATTTAATTTAACATAAGCTTCTGATGGGTTATGATTCTTTATTATAATGTTCATTCTGTTAAAAACAGTTTGATAGGTGGAACTCAAACCTATCCCAGCAAGTGAATCAATTCCAATTGCAGATGTACCACACCCTGACATAAATAGTCCTATAGATGATTTAATATCACTAACTTGTTTATTCCGAATTGCAGCTAGTTGATAACATATGAACATAATTTTGGTTTTTATTTGTTTTTTTGTAGCTTCATTTTTTGAAGCAGGGTTGATTGATTGATATATAATTTCAAAAAATCCTTTTAATTCCATATCTTCTGATTCAATATAATTAACAAAATCTTCAGGATCAGTAATGGGCTTTTGGTGTTTTTTATGTTGCAAAGCATATAATACAGATGTAAGACGTTTAATTTTATCATTAAAGAGTTCTGCAAAATTTTCTTTTTCTAATAATAAAAAAAATAATTAGCAATAATAATAATTATAAATAATTTGTTAATAATATATTATTATATAACTTAATGCTTGTTCTAATTCAATTTCTAATTTATTTGTATGCTCTTGCAATTCATCTATTTTTTCAATTAAATTTTCATATTTTTCTTGGGTCAAACAAACACGTTTTGGATATGTTCCACCTTGATGATAACTTTTATCTTTATTACTTTTTTGCTTTTGTCCAATTTTGGGGTTATTATCACGATCATAATTAATTAATTCATTGTGATGCTTTTGACACAATTGGTCATCAACTTGAAAATTTATATTTTCAATATTAGGACTTTGACTTATTTTTAAAATAATTTGTGCATTAATCTTTCTATAAGTTTTATTAGGTTCTTGATTGCCACATACTATGCAAGGACCAAAATTTCTTTTTGTACTTTTGTTCATTTTTATTAATAATGAAATAAAAAGTGAGACTTATTTTGATTTTTTGACATGCATTTGAGCATGTAGATCATCAACAAATTTGGATTTTATGACCGAAATAAATGAAATTTATGGTAAACTTTGGTATTAATAAAAGTCAAAACTCAAACTTGATCTGAGTAAGCTCAAACTTGATCTTAAAGTAAAAATAAAAATAGAATTATTTTGCAAAGTTTGAAATGGTGTTGGTTAGTGTGTGCAGTGCCACTTTTCTAAGTGGTACTTTTTCAATTTTACAATACTCTTTACATATAAATTGTAGATCTTTTTTTGAAAAGTCTATTAAATGTGTGTAACGCAGATCTATCCATAAAAGGATTTTTAACTATGCTTGGCGGTGGTGGTTATCGCCTGCCACTCGTCGTCACTCTAGTTATTATCAAAAGAATGGTGGTGCTTATCGCCACTTGTCGTCACTCTAGTTCTAGTTTTAAAACAACAATAAATTGTATTATTTAATAGAAATCCTAGTAGAACGATGCTTAAAAGCAGTACAAAAGTGAACATTGTTAAAAGAAATACTAGAAATACATCCGAGTAAGTCTATTAGAAAAGCATTAATTCAAGCAAATTTTGACTTTTTTTATTCATATTTCTTGCTAGACCGTCATCTTCAGCTACATCTACTACTTCCAAAAAGAAATTTAAATTCAATGTAACTGAATTTAAGTATGACGTAATTAGAAAGTATCAGACATGTGTTGTATGTATTCACAACATAAAGATCGTTTGATAAATTAGATAAATACATAATAATATTTTGTTTTTATATTCTTTTTTAGGAAAATAATTTGAAGCCTTGGATTGTTTTAATAGATGATGCTGAAGTAGACATAGTTGCTTGAATTTATGACAAATTGACGATGGATGAACTGAATTTAATGTCATTTGATAATCCATTCCTTTCAATGATAATCGACTTTGATGTAATTGGGACTTTTATTCATAAGTGCTTTGATGTAGATGAATTTGTAGAAATGACAAAGTTTAAGAATCAATGGTTTCTTCCTTCAAACAATATCAAATGTTATATAGATGATTTGATTAAATCTAGCAAGGTAATACCAAATAATTTATCAATTTCTTTTCTTAAATTAATTATTAAAAGAATTTATTTATTCACGGTGTCAAAGACATCTAGTACAAGGCTTTTAGAAAGCATACAATCTGAAGATGAGATTTTACAAGTGGCTTCACTAGGAGAACTTCACCAATTGTTGTATGTTTGAGTTTTTAATTAAAATTTAGACATTCTACTGTGTTTACATTAATAATATATAAATATTGCAAATATTAATTTTTCTAAAGTGCTAAAATTTGGAGGAAAGAACAATATGATAATAGAACTGATGGTGATAACACCATTTTCGAACCTACATTCTCACATGATGTAATTGATAAAATAATGTTCTGTTGTGTTCAAGATATAGATAAAAAAGTTCATTTAAGATGGTAAGCATTTTTTCATCATAATTTATCTCCTTACTGTCTATTGAAGAAAATGACATTATTTAATATTTAGAGAGGAACAAGCAGAAGATGGAAATATCAATTATGAGACACATTTGAGTTATGATCAATGGGTAAATTCATTAGATAATAAATCTAAGTCAGAGATGAAGCAAAACAGTCGTCGAATCCCAGACTGTATGAGTATTATAAAAGTTGGGTCAGATGAGTATGAGTTTCTTTATAATGAGATTAGTGGTCCACCCTATAATATTGATCAAAAAAAAGTCGAAAGAGATAGAAGAAAATTAATAAGATACATGAGGAGAAATAAGGAAGGTCAAATTAGCAAATTTTTGAAAAACTTTGGTATAGCTGTTGATCATGTAATAGCAAAAATTCTTGACAAATTTAATGTGTTTTCCTTGCATGTCCATGGTATTTACATGTTTATTTATTTATTTTTTATTTTTATTTTTTTTGAAAGGCAATAGACAAAGTACATTTATTCTATTTGCTATGGTTATTTTAAACAAATAGGAACTTCATTAAAACTTTTAATGTATGAAAATCAAGATTTCTTGTCTTGCGTATACACTTTATTTGAAGTCAAGATACTGATTGAATCCTACTCAACTATTGATGAAAAAAGAAATTTTTTCCTTGCTTACTCAATGTTAATAAAAATTGTAATTTATGCAGTAAGGAAATTTGAAGAAATTGAAGTTGAATTGGAAAAAAATCGTAGCATTTTCAACACAAATATTACTACTAAATTAAATAGAGAAATCTATGCTGAAGTAGATATTTTTCCTTCACCATAGGGAAAAAAGGTTAAAAATTATGATAGCTTTAATTCATATCATTATTATATTTGGATAGTAATTTACATCCTGCACAATTAATTTAAAAAATAAAATTATTACTTTCATCCTTATATTCCAAAGATGTGATAATTGTTTTCTTTATAATAATAGTAAAATCCGATATAACACATGAAATAAATTATGGCATGCCATTATGGACAAAAGTCTGTTCATACCCCATATTAATCTATTCACACCCCATTCACATCCTAGATTAATATTTGTATCTCTGATTTATCCATTTAATGTAGTGATTGCATTCATGAGATTCATGAATATTCATTAGGGGTTTACACATATCAAAATCAAGTGATCAACACATGATTTTAAGGGATTTTTGGTTGGTTTGATACTGTGTAACCCCCTAATGAATTTCATGAACGCAACTACTACATTAATCCATTCTCATCACTAATTTATCCATTCACATTCTACATTAATCGGCAGAATGCAAAAAAGAAGTGGTTCAGACACAGTATTAGTATATATTGATCAATATATTTATTGACATATCCTGTACGAAGTCACAGACCACACATCCAACTTTGTTACAATAACAAGAGGTTGCAAAACATAGCAAAATTTTAGTAATTAATATTCATAAATTCTTCTGAATAATTTTCACTTCAACATATTAATTCAGTAATCACATTACTAAATTTTGATCCCTGAAATTCTTGGTAATACCAATGTTCACTTTGTCTGGTTTTGTTGCAGCATGCCCCAAATAATAATTGATCTTCAATATATACAGAACAAAATATACAGAAAGGTTCTGTGTATTTGATAAATAATAATTGATCTTCAATATATACAGAACAAAATATACAGAAAGGTCCTGCATATTTGATAAATAAATAATTGATCTTCAATATATATAGAACAAAATATACAGAAAGGTCCTGCATATTTGATAAATAAATAATTGATCTTCAATATACAGAACAAAATATACAGAAAGGTCCTGCATATTTGATAAATAAATAATTGATCTTCAATATATACAGAACAAAATATACAGAAAGCTTCTGTATATTTGATAAACAATAATTGATCTTCAAATTATAATGAACTTTGTTATAATGGACTTGCTATAGTGAATATTTTTTCCTAAATGGTCTGTTATATAGAGAGTGAACTGTAAGTAATATGCAAATTATTTCAAACATCTTGGGTTGGATCTTGTATTACCAAAAACAATTTTTCTTCTCAACAACAACCTCCCAAAGCAATAATTGATTGGTATCAAGTATTTATGTTTTATTTTTTATAATTTGTTATATTTTCATTGATACATTTATCATGATGTACTATCATTAGTAGTAATAGAGAATATACTCAAACAAGTCAACAATTACAGTACTTATGTTTTTATATTTATTATTTTATGCTTTACATTTTATTTTTTTTTTGTTGATAATTATTTTTTTTTTAAAAAAAAAGTAGAACAAACAGAATGGACAAATTTTCTTTTAATATATATACTAATACATTACTGATTAGTTAAGCCACTTACTGTGTTAGCATTCAATCAAATGCAATTGACATTCCCTTTACATTTGCAAAGAAATTTATTTTTGTAGGAAAAATTTACTTTATTGTAAGGAAGTTGCTACACAATCACTAACTATTAAGTATTAGTATTAACTATACTTTTAAGTGATTTGAACTCCTCTACACAAGAGTTTGTAGAGATCCTTGTGTGGTATAGTTGGCAGTGTTTTTTCTTGGGAGGGTGTTTGTAATTTAAGAGAGTTAGTTACCAACATCAATTTCTTTAGCATAGCTAATGTTATACAAAATCATTGGTGATGTAATCTATATTTTTTTCCTGGTGACATTTAACCAAATTTGATCTATATGATATAAAAAAAGGTATAATAATAATAATAATAATAATAATAATAATAATAATAATAATAATAATAATAGTGTTACCAGAATTAAACGATGACGAAGATAATTTGGCCGAATCCTTTAATTTCGGGTCAAATTAAATTTTATTT